TCACTTGGCGTTTCCAATTGGCGTCAGTTGGCACAGAGGAGAAACGACTGGCGTGCTTTGCTGAACTCGGCCAAAATCGCTTAGGCGGTTACAGCGCCAAAAAAGAAGAAGAAGAAGTGCTCCTTCATTATTTGGTTTCATAGGGATTCGGATACCTTCCTCATTGAAGTAGTAAAGAAAATTCGCTAAGTGCCTTTTTCGGTTAAGTGCACAAATTTTCGTGCAATGAAGGATGTGCAGCTAAGCAAAATATACTGTACATCCTCTACCCCTGTTCGTTCTAATTCGATTTAGATTTATACTCAAACGATAATAAAATCGGTACTAACATCCAACAAAATATCGATAACAAAACCTATAAAAATATCGATACAAAAATCCATGATAAATTCGATAAAAATTTCGTTGGCAAAATCGATAATAATATTGGTAGCAAAGTCGATTAGAAAATCGATAAAAATATCAATTAAAAGATCGATAAATAATCGATAGTAAAGTCGATAACAAAATCGATAAAAATATCGACAACAAACCGATGAAAATGTGATTATTATATCGATAAGTCCCGAGAATCCCAAAATCTCTAAAATCCCAAAATAGTTTTTATATTGAGTATCCTTTTCTCTTAAATTACCTTTATTTTAATATTTTTTGCTCTAACCTCATCTTTACTTTTATCGGTATCTGATCCCCATATTTTTCTTTATATTTATCTTTGTTTTTACTTTTATGTTTATCATTTTCTTCATTTACATATTCCCCGTTCACCTTTGCCAATATACATACAAGTAAAGTGTTTAAATTTACCTCGATCTTCATTTTTGCCTTTATCTTTACACATCTTTGTTCTTGTTTTTATTACAACGCTTTTTTTACCTTTGCCTTTATCCTTTTCTTTATTTATGTACGTACTCACCTTTCCTTTCATTCTTGCATTCGCCTTTTAAAAAGTGTTATTCTTTAACCCTTTATTAGCAAGTTTTTGTTAATTTAATAACATGCACTGAAGAAGCACTTGTTTCACCATTTCCTACCATTTCCGTTGCACCATTTCCGTTGCATCATGTGTGCAATTTCCGTTGAATTTGCCAATTTACTCCCAACCAACCAACCGCCGCTAAAGAAGTTTCACTTCAAAAACAATTTGGATTGGGGACCTGCACATTTATTACTTCTTGCCACATTTTCACTACATACACTCAGTGCTTGGTGTTTCTACTTGGCTTCAATTTGCCGGCGAATCTATTGAAGTCAACCAAAATCCCCTCGACAATTCTAGCTTCAATTAAGAAGAGGTCTGCTAAAAGCTATCACCTCAACTAGTTCAGAAAAGAAAAACATAAACAACTAACTCTAATCATATTTTTATGGTGATTTCGTTTCTACCAAAAAATTTTGCATTTTGATTGCCCCTTTCTCTTTTGGTTTTCGATTCAAAAATAAAGGCAACGGTGAGAAAATTTTGCGTTCGTTTCTTAAAATGTCACACCCTTTTAAGGCAAAAAAAGCACATAGATGGAAGCTTTGTTAGGGGAGATGGTTGCCCTGAAAATCAGATAATATTATGAAATGCGTGAACTAGACAAAGACAAGAAGGCAAACACATGCCATTTTACAGCGTTGAGTGTAACATCAAATACATTTTGCACCGGAGAAGGGCAACATTTTTGCGAAGAAACGAAATCACCATTAGATACGTACTCTAAGCCACTGTAGCACTTTAGCAATAAACAAATCCATAATCGAATGCCGTAATGTTTTGCCGCCAACAAACCGTCAACAGGTTATGCATAGAATGCCGGTTGCATCACTCAAAACGTTGCCTGCCTGGTACACATTTATTTCTAAAAGCTGCATATAAATTAAAAGCAAAACTATAATTTACCAAAACCAAACTCCGAAACATTGAAAGAGAAAGAGAGAAAGGCCAAAAGAAATACAGTGAAAACTCGATATAACGAACGCTGTTGAAACTTAAAACTCAATATAAAAAATTTTTCTTGGTCCCCTGAAAGAAAATCATTGCTGCGAGATTTGCCATACAAAAATGTTTCAAAGATATAACGAAGAAAGCCTGAAAACCATCGGAACGGTTAAAGTACCGTTAGCAAAATAATACTTAACGATGTGTCGACTCAAAAGCCTCGACATAACAAATTCTGAATATGTTGACGGTTAGAGCAACGCTTTTTTTCCAAAATTTTAAATTTTTCGTTTCATCGAGCTCTTTATATTTCATACGTAAATATCACGAAACCAATAAGGCAATTCTGGCAACTGTGTTTCATCTCACCACAGTTTTTTGATAGACAAAAGTCTTTCGTAGAACAATTGTTAATTCTGATAACCATCTTGAAAGCTCTTTTCTGTCTTTCGAAAGACTAATTGAAAGATCTGCTAACGACGAAATATTAAATTAAATAAAGAATAGTTTTTTTCTTTTAAAACAATAAAACTAAAATATATATAAAATAAATTAAAATAAAATAAGTTCATAAAAATTAAACTGAATTAGAAATTATTTTTATTTTTAAACTATCTAATAACATTTAAAAATTAAAAAACATATATAAAAAAATAACAAGTTGTAAAAATTTAATAACAAATTTTTTTTAATGAAAAAAATTAAAAAAGGAAAAACCTTAAATTAAAAAAAATTAAAAATAAATTTTAAAAATTAATAGTGATTAAAAAATCTAAGAGAATAAAAAATAAAAATAAAAGGAAATTAAATTAAAAAACGAAAAAAAATAAAAATATATGTTTTAAAAATTAAGGGAAAAAACAAGTATTTTTCGTTTTGAAGGAATTCAATTTAAAAATTAAATTAAACACTATATTGAAAGAAAAAATAAACTGTTTCCATAAATTAAAAATTTCTTCTTAAAACAATAAAGTCTAAAAATTAAGTAAAATTTAAACTAAAAATTAAAAAAGAATTAAAAAATATAATAAGTTAAAAAAAAACGAAATGAGTTTGAAATAGATCTACATGTATTTTCAAATTATTATTAATTGTTATTAAAATTAAACGAAAATTAAGATTAAAAAACAAGTAATTAATAAAATTAAAAACAAATAAAAAAATCCGCTACCCGAGGATTCTAACCTCGGATCTTTCGAACGGCACGCTAGGGATTTGTTCATTCGGCCATTGCATACTTATTCATCTCCATTTGGACAATGTTAAAGTGATTTCTATCAAAATAGCTTTTCACTATGAAAGTTAACAACGGAGCTTTTGTCTGTAAGGCTTTCAAACTATCTTGCTTTCTGCCTTTCAATTGGAACACAAAAGATCCTCAACTTCATTATATCGAGGTTTCACTGTAAATATAGCGACATGGCTCTTCCCGCCAAATTTCGCAAATGTTTTTGTTTACCAAAATACTATACTCATAGTAAACATTAAAACAAACTTAAAGCTGACCATTTCTCCCCGAACTCATATGTATGTATGTAGATACAAAACAACTTGCGCGTGCTTTGCCGCAAACTGTGGCACTAAACGCGATGTAGCCACAAGTGGCACCGAGCTCATTGGAAAACTTGTTTTTCTAGGATAGCCGCTATTTGCAATTTCTGCAGCTGCAGAGCGTTTGCTTTCATGTAACGCTTTTCACTTTCATTCGAGTCGGCAGAGAGATTGCATGTTGGCAACGCAAATAAATTGCAAATGGAATTCGCAAACAAGAAAATAAAAACAAAACATACAGTGTGGAAATAGCAGTTATTAGATAAGATATTTGGCTTTTTGTTAGTTAACTTTTAAAGGAAAATGTGCGATGCAAAGGATTTCTACAAGGATGCAGTCATTTTTGTCACAGGTAAGTAATTGGCCAAATTTGAAGTTTCAAAAGTAGTTGCATGCCAACATATATACATGTGGATGTGGGTATAAATAAAAAAAAACAATTTTTTTTTTGTCGTGCGAGTATTTTAAAATTAATTAATCGATGGCTTCTTCCTATTAATTTTACTTAATTTAAAGGCGCCACTGGCTTTGTGGGCAAAACTTTGCTGGAAAAGTTGCTTTGGAGCTTTCCCCAAATCGCACGCATTTATATGCTGATACGTGAAAAGAGTGGTCGTACGGTGGCGCAACGTTGTCAGGATTTTGTACAACATAAAATCTTCGAACGCTTGCGTACGCATTTTCCGGAGCGTCTAGAGAAACTGGTCTATCTCAAGGGTAATATTGAGTGTGATGATTTCGGTGAGTAAACGCTTCGCGAAGCGACAGAAAATATCTAAGTTTTATTTTTTCTATATATACGAATATAAATCAGTGATGATCGGAGAGAACTTTTACTCTGCGCGCATGCAAATAAAAAATCTATAGAAAGCTTTAAAAAGCTTCTACCCTGATTATGTTTTGGTAGTCTTGCGGTAACTTTTTGCTTATTTTTTTCAGGCTTGTGCCCCACTGATCGCACTCAGCTTTGTGCGCATGTGCAGATTATTTTTCACAGCGCTGCTACAGTTCGCTTCAATGAACGTTTAAAAGTAGCCGCCCGCGTTAATGCCATCGGCACTTGGCATCTTTTGGAGCTGTGCAAGGAAATGCCAAAGTTGAAGGTATTGTAGCTAATTAATTATTTGCTTGTTTTGCAAATGAAAAAAAAATAAATAAATAACTACTACATCCATAAGAAAAGAACGCATCATATAACATTTTCTTTCTAGGCAGGAAACAAATTTATCTTATGAGCGTTACGACTTTTTTGCGGGAATTTTTTTTTGTGCTGTAGAGTAGTAAATGTAGAGCTTTTTTATTTCTGCCTGCGCTCATTGTAGCTGCGAGCCTTTTTACGGATCAACAATATTTTTCATATTCTACAATGAAACAATACATCGTCAGTAGACCTGAATAAAGAAGAGAACTCAAAAATGGACCGCGAAAAAAGACCCGTACAAAAATTCAGCGAAGAAAGACGCGTAAACCTAGTTGAAGGCGAAGAAAGATGCTTTATTGTACTCGACTCAAATGACTTATACTAGGTTCACATATAAGTAGATTATCCTCATTTTTGAGCTTAACACCCTAATCTGTAATTATAACAAGAGATTAGCCATATAAAATTCGTCCCTTGTTAATCTGTAATTATAAAATAATCTCAGATTTAACCGATAACTTTTCGGTGTCCATCCTAGTTTTATCGATTGTTTTTGCGAAAAAGAGGAGAAATGCCAAATGTAAAAGTAAACAAAAATGTACGCTAGCAAGTAAAAGAGGTTTGTAAAGGTATTTTTAATAAAATGTTAAGTTAAAATATATTTATATTGCTTATTATAGCAGAAAAACGTCATCACGGTGGCACAGAGAAGAAACATAACTTTTCCTTGAGATGTGAGAATAACGAGCACAACAAATTTGACGGCGAATAATCTGAGATTTGCCTGTGTAAACGGGGTGATTAAAAAACGAGCTTTGATTGAGATAATATTGATATGTGAACATAGTTTTAAGCAGTAACAGCACCAAACAAAAAGAAGAAGCATTGATTAAGACCTCTCATGATAGCCTATACAAATGGACTAGTCCTTGTTAAGGACCGGTCTAATACTCATGCCGAGAAACTGGGACATAAATCTCAAACTGACAAAGTGAATGGTTGAAAATATTGTAATACGTTTAGGGGATTGGATCGTGTTAACTGTCGTAAAATCTTACGATTTACGATTTAACGGGTTAACACGTCTTGTGAATTATGTACAATATCTACTAAGTTTAAGCAGAATTTTAGATCCTATAGATAAAATTTTTAATAGCCAACTAAACAGGGCTAACAACCACTTCAGAAATCGGTGTAGTTCTGTGCAGTGGCTCGAGCCACCTAGCCGTGTTTTTTAGCGGTTCAGCAACCAGTTAGTACCTCTGAAGTGTAGTTCAGTTCGGTTTAAAGTGGTTCTATTTTCTTTCTTAGATAGCAAATGAGCAACTATGTTGGTAACGATTTTTGTGGCACCACTTGTTACCTAAGTTATTTACAAGAAACACTTTACCATTAGCACTTACTAATTTTACGTTTTATTTAATTATCTTACAGAGTTTTGTCTATGTTTCAACAGCATACTGTAATCCTGGTAGAAAATTTGTCGATGAGCTGATATACCCCACACTGCCGCCTGTCAATTGGAAAATGTTCGTTGATTGCACCAATAAAATACCGGATGCCTACTTCAATAGTTTGGCTAATTATATAAAAGTAAGTATTAATTAAATTTGTAACGCAAAATAAGTCTGGTCTTATACATACATATGTATCTAGAAAGGGATTTATCAAAAGGATCAGTTGGAATAATTTCTGACACTTTTTTGATGCAAATTATGCGAAACGAAGTTGGCCGCAGAATGCGCAATATAATTATAAATTTTTTTTTCGATTTCGTCAGCTGCAGCAATTCGTTAAGCAATTTCGTTGAACTTATAGTTTAAAATCGAATTTAGCTGTTGAAGCAGGCGGCAACCCTCTTCTAAAATATATGCTATGTGTTCCTCCAGGTCATAAGCTATGTATTCTATGCTACATTTTATCCAAAGAAAGAACACCAAACGCACACTCAGTAACCTTCACTTGTCCATTGAATTGATTTTAAATTCCTAATCTGGGGCAACCCTCGTCAAAAATAATATCAAAATAGATTCGTTTGACACCCACATTGGTGTAATATCCTTTTATCTTAATTATCAAGTGATTTTGATATTTTTAAAGGTGGCAACTCTTCTCCTATATGTTAATCAGGGTCTATATACATATGTGCCAGTTTAGCTGAAAAAAGAAAGCACATTTAATCCTATACATGGATAACTCCTCATGACTTTCAGCTCTAGTATTTTTCGGATATTTACCTTTTCCCGATACCGTGCAACCAGTTAAAACCTTACGCTCAAATATGAAGCGGGATTTATTGAGATTATACTAACCATAAACTTGTCATTTAGAGTGCTAGAACACCTACCACACCAACGTAAATGCACCATTATTTTCTCACCCACAGGGTCCCCATCCGAATACCTACACCTTTACCAAATCGATAGCCGAGCAAATTGTGAATGAATACAAACACTGCATACCAATTGTCATCGTACGACCATCGATTGTGACAGCAGCACATCGTGAACCCTATCCTGGTTGGATCGACAACATACAAGGCATCACTGGCATAATGATGGAAATCGGAAAGGGTACAATTAGCAGCATATTGGGTGACAAAGATATCATTTGCGATATAATACCAGTCGACTTTGTGGTGAACTCACTGTTATTGATGGCACAGAAAGCAACACTGGGAAGGTTTGCAAAGTGAAGCTGTAGTTATATTTTTGTATTTACCTACTTTTCTACTTATTACTTCTGACAGAGTTTACATAGCTAATGCAACATCGGGTGTCACAAATCCCATCACTTGGGCGCGTCTGGGTTGTCTGACACTGAAATGGTCGCGCATTTATCCAACTAAACGTATAATGATGTATCCGAATTTTAAATATCGAAAAAGTTTTCTGCTGCATGAAATTGCCGTAATTTTGCTGCATTACGTGCCAGCGCTGTTAATGGATTTGCTGACACTTTTAAGACAGAAACGAAAATTTGTGCTGCCAATTGCGAAAAAATTTCGACAAGCTTGTCTAGCAGGTGCGTGGTAGAGATGAGAAGGAGTGAGAAAGCGAGTTGAGATAGGAAATGAAGCTAGTATTTAATGGTATTTCTATTTTATCTCAGGTCGCACGTTCTCGCTAAATGAATGGATTTTCAAAAATCGTAGTCGTTACTATTTTGAGGAATTGCTACAAAATAAGGCTTTGCATCAACTCTCTTGGAACTTGGAAGCACTGGACTATGACAGTTATATAAGAGAATTTGTTATTGGCATACAAAAGTATCTGCATCACGAGCAATTTCATGAGAGTGCCAGTAGATGGAGAATCACGCGGTGAGTGGGTTGGAAAATTGCTAAAGGTCTTAGGTTTCCTTAAACCCCGATTTTTACTTTACAGCCTCTATTGGATCTGGACATTTCTGCACGTCTTTGTACCACTCCTGACTGTATATTGCTTGCTATAAAGTAATCCTAACAATGTTGGCGAGAAAATACCTAAAAGTGAATATATTGTAAAAA